ATTTTTTTAACATTTTAATTTAGCTATCTGTTTTGGATTACATAAATAAAAAAAATGAATTCTGTATTTTCTTTCTAAAATAAATCAATTCTGCTACATTGGAATTACCGATTAGATTGAGCATTAGGGAATGTATAAAACTGCATCTTTAACAGACACAACAACATTTCTCAATGAGAATCAAGCAGTTTGCAGTGACCTTCATGTTGATCAGTGGGGGGTCAGTACTGGCATTAAATCATTTTGATTCACAGATGAGATCAACATATTCATATTTGTTTGCCAAATGTGTATTTTAATTTAAGCTTCCTCTGATTGATGCATGTAATTTATGCTGCTTAGAACTAAGGCATCATATTTTTCTTTTTTCCTAACTAACCGGGGGAGACTTTCTTGGAAACAGATAAAGGAAAGAGTCCAGTAATTTGTAGCAATGTGACTACAGCCACACATGTTCTAGAATTAATGTTCTTCATTAGGGTGAGGAGTATCAGCTGTATATATACATCAGGATTTTAATTAACTTGGTCCCCACAACAGGGCACATGATTCAAACTGTTTTTCCTTTTTTTCTTATTAGATGAAAAAAAAAAACCAAACCAACATGATATAAAGTTAAAACAAGAAAAAAACTCAAAAAGCAAACCAAACAACCCCATGCACATACAACAATAAGAAACAAAATCTAAGAGTTGCAGTCAAGGTCAAGAATATTTCTATAAGTCAGAATTAATCATCAGGGGTAACTTGGCACTGATGACTCACAGAGCAGTGGTCTGACTGAGAGGTTAGCAGTTCTATCACCCACCCTGCTTAGCCCAGTCTGACACAAGGGTAGTAACTCATTCATGGGATAGTTTAAATTCTATTTCATTTACAAGTGACTTGTAATTGGCTGCAAAAAACAGTAACTGCTAAAAAAAAAAAAAAAGATTTGGACTTTGAGATACATTTTAGGAGAAAAAAAAAAGCTAATCTTCTATAGAAAAAGTTTTCTAAGTCCTGTTAATCTTACCCATCAGCTACTTTCTCCACAGCTCCAAAATTGCCATAGATATTTTATCATGTAAATAATTGCCATTGAAAAAGCCCTTTTTAAAGTAATGTGGGCAAGAGTGGGGCAGTGCATTTTATGCAGTCTCAAGCATGACATGTATCAGACCCCAGATGGTTTTGTATGTTCGGTCAGTCCCACATGGAGCTGGGTATTGGGTTAGGTAAAACTAGTGCTAACTTAATGTAGCTCAATGGCTGAGAATACAGAGAGGGTCTCACACGAGTGAATCCAGCACTGTCCTGCACTGTGACAGGTGGGTTTCCCTTTAAGTGAGCCCTGAAATCACTGTCCAGGGGAAAATGCACCTTACACTGTGAATGACTGGTTCACATTTCCCCTGTTCTCTGTGTAACCAAAGTGATGACCAGACTTGCAGCCATGTTGACTCAGAGTTTTGTGTTTCACTGAGCGTGAACTATATCTATGAAAAAAACGTGATGAGTGAGCCTCCATGGACTTAGCATGTCCATGAGTTTGAGTACATAACTGGAGTCTGGATGCTTGTATGAACTGTAGCTGAACAGATAAGCAGGGACTCATGGAATTTAGATACACAATTTTCAAGATGGGTCAAACAGCTGTAGAAAAGCTATTCTTCTACCAAAAATAAATGCAGCTGACAGCTTTTGGAGACCTTTCATTGCTTTTCAAATCCCCATTCTCCCATAGTTCATTTTGCTATGTAAATGAGGTTATGAAATATGGGGGAGCAAATTCATACTTTGATTTTTCTTTTAACCTATGCCTCCACTTGAGGAGAAGTAGCAATTCCAAATGAAAGAAAAAATTAGGCAGAAGTTTAAAATGTCTTTGAATTCTGAAGTTTGGCTATTCGTGTGCATTGCCTAGAATAGCATTACTGTCATTTGATAAAGAATGAAAAAATACTGACTTAAGCAAAGTTCAACAAAATTTCAGAAAATTCCCTCCATCAGATTTTATTTGTCCAGGCTAGTATGTTTTTTTGAGGGGGTGATGGGGTGGTGTCTTCCATTTGTGAAATAAGGCATATAGCCTATGCCTGACATTGCTTCTTTAAGGCAAGCGTATGCGTTACAATTTCATCAAATGTTTAATTGACTGAGGTAGAAGAGCTGAGAGTTTGGATGAAGGTGTATCACTTACAAGAAAACATTTCTGAATATTCAGTCTGCATTTCCTTCTGATTTGACAAAGCCACAAGAATGGGAGTGATTTGCTTTTGGAGCTGTAGGAATGTGAAGATATAGAAGTCTGTGCAACTGAAGAAATCTGGGCTTTACAGACTTTTCGTTGCTCTATATTCTACTGCTTTCTTAATCTTAACATCTGACCAACATCCAACAGCACATGAGTAAGCATGCCAGATGTGTTCTGTCTGTTCTTTCCATCTTTCCCCCAAAAGGGTGAAGCTATATTTTTTTTTTTTTAGAAGTAACAAGAATGGTGACATAATATGTATCATGCATCCTATCTCTGTATCTCCTTACAGTATCTAGGAATCATAGAATTGTTTGGGTTGGAAGGGACTTTAATGATCATTTAGTTCCAATGCCCCTGCTGTGGACGGGGACACCTTGCAGGTTGCTCAAGGCCCCATCCAACCTGGCCTTGAACATTTCCAGGGATGGGGCACTCACAACCTCTCTGGGCAACCTGTTCCAGTGCCTCACCATCCTTGCAGTAAAGAATTTCTTCCTAACATCTAATCTAAACCAACCCTTGTTCAGTTTTAAGCCATTACCCCTTTTGTAGTTCTAAGCATGTTTGCACATGCAGGTATTCAAGAGAGAGAAAAAGATAAACTCACGTACAGTTCCATACAGACCTTCCCAGAGTGCACGTCCTGTCTTGCTGGTTAGAGGAGGCGAAGTCAGTGGGAAGTTCCTTGCTCTCTGAATGCAAGTGAGCATTTGATGCTCACTGACCTTGGATATTCTTCATTCTCTGCAAAGATGATCTTTATCTTTTCTATAGAAATTGCTATTGTGCTAGAAGATTGTTTGTGCCAGGGACTAACATGGAATTAGCTTAATTTATGCAATTTGTATAATATTATTGGTTGGGAGTCAAGGCAAAGTAAGCTGAACTGGCGCATCTTTTACAATTCTTAAAAGACTCCTTGTTTGAACAGAGATGTCTGCACTGGTGTGACAGTGATCCTCACCTTTAACAAGGATTGCATCACAACAGTGAGACACAGTTTATTTAATTAAAGAAATTCAAAAGACATGGACAAAATCTGCATGCAGTTAAATCTTTTGGAGTTAGCTTTAGCATAACTTTTACCTTTGACACAAATTCAAATAAGTCTGACTTCTGATTACATACTTCCTACCCCATCTATTTTAGACATCCAAGATGTAATTCTGAGCAACTAATATCCTAAATTCTTTGCAATTAATATCCTAAATTCTTTATACAATTAACAGAAGGGCTATATTTCTGAAAAGAGGTAGATTTGATACTAAGGTTAGGACAGATTTCCATAGCTCTGAAATAGTGGAAAATAGATACACTGTAGAGAAATGTGAAGGATCCTAACATGCTGACAAAATATCCTAGGGATCTTGGCACAGTCTTAAAGAGCATAATCCTGGTAAAAGAACACTAGTCCTTGTTTGCTATTTACCAATAAGTCTTCTTTGTTTGTTTCAAGTATCTTAAACTGTCCTGTTAATCAGAGTAATAGAAAAGATGCCTTTTATTAGTCTGGAGCCACTGGAGCCAGCTGATACTTTAAATCTTTGCATTTCTGATAAGATAAATTGCATGTTTAAAGGATGACAAATTACACAGAGTTATATTTCACTATGTCACAGTGATTTAGAAAATCACTTCACATTATAAACATTTTTTATTTAAGAATTATTAGAACACACATTTTTGGTTGATAATAATCAACAAAAGCTATTTATTTTGGATTTAACACAAACATGTTTGAGGCTTCTCTGAGAACACAACACTGTCTCATTTTATTCTAGGGGAATAATGTTATTGTTTAATGGTAAGAAGAAATCTTACTGAGTGGTTATATCTGTTGTATAATGAAAACAGTAAACCTACACTTGATCTAGAGATGCATGCCTGGATCAAAATGCCTAGCAGTCAAAATCCAGGTCGCACAGCTCCTTTGTTTATGAAAATCACAGGTCATCAAAAACCTGCCTATTATTAAAGCCATTTATCAGCTGATTATTTCCATACCATTATTTCTTTCACTATTCTAAGTCACCAATAATTTAGAAATATTGACAAATGTTTCTTAAAAAAACAAGCTCACGCTGTCTCTGCAGGTTGATCAGATGAGCTCTCTCTTGTACATCGGAAAGCTGACTACTTTCCAACAACTTGATTTCACAAATGGAAAAACAGCATCTGTTTTCCTGCAGCTCCACATATGGCTCTCACTGTTGCTGCACGGAGCTAAAGCAGGTAGCCCCCGCGAGCACAGCCCTCCAGAGCCCTGCAGCCCCCCGGGAGCAGCCACCACCGTTCAACTGCGAGGGACACTGGTTCCCCAGGCAGTTGGAAGTCTGTACTTCATCAGCATATGCAAAGCATCCCTCCCAACATCAACTTGTAGGGAAAAATGCTCAAATGTGTATTTAGGACTCCTGCGCTTGTCTATTTGATGTGGCAATTTCAGTGTATCTACTACAAGGCATGATTGCTCAAGGACTTTAGCAAATGTCTAGCCGTCGTCAATGGACCATGAGAGGACCTGAAATAATTTGCAGGCAGAGTTGTCTGTGCATGTAAAGAAGGGAAACAGAGCATCTAAGCTAGAATTAAGATAAAATGCATGTACTTTTTCTCCACGGCACATGATTATTTTTGGCTCTGTAATGTATGCTATCCAGCAGCTCTTGCTGGTCTATTCACAGGAGTTTGAAGCTCAAGTCAAATAAAAATATCAAGGCTTTTTTTTTCCCCTTTTTTTTCCTTTTCATAGGTTTTGGTAAGCACATGTGCTTGTGAAGGTCAAGGGACTGGCAGCATCAGAAATTGAATTTCTGAATACATCCACAGTCCAGGTATATTTCAGACAGATGCTCTCATTCCCAGACTGCCCTGCCAATGACCTTAACCCCGATTTGGAAGGACAACCCAATCTACTATAAAGAGGAAAGGTGATTTAGTCTCCAGCCATGCTGACAGTGTCTTGGACCTCTCTGAACACAGTTTGTCATTTGTGCTGAAACATCAAATCATTTGGTAATGTGAACTATCTCCCACTAGCGATTAAACTGAGACTAATTACTAGTCTTTCCCTCTAAAATCTGACTCTGAATAATCCCAATGATAAAATTTTCGCTCTGTATTTTCATCTTCATAACGAAATGTAATACATAACTATCTATTTAACCATATATTGGTACTATTGTTTGCAACTACTTAAGGCCAGACTCAAGAAAAGAAAAGATAATTTTCTATGGTCATTGCTGGAGACTGCATTATAGCAGATTATAATTTAACAGAAAGCTGATCTGCTCAAAACTATCATTCCTTCCTTCAAAGCATTTATCCTCATCTTCAAAGCCACCAACTGATCCCCAAAAGCAAATCTAACACTGATAAATAACTCTACGCTCTCTGGTGATGTGGTATCTCAGCTCATGGCACAATAAAATCACCATGGTCCAGGAGAAATGCTGCCACATGGCTGCAGCAAGGCACCTTTAGAAGAGAATAGCACAAGCTTGGAAGTTGGCTGCAATCCACCTTTGGGGCAGGAGGAAATAAATATAAGCCCATGACTGTAGTTCCCACAGAAGAGGAACAGCCAGGAGCACCTCAGGAATGACCTCAGACAGATAGGGACAGCAGGTGGGTCTGAAGAAGGTGAAGGCAATCAAGTAAGAGATTAAGAAAGAATGAACACAAAGAGAAAGAGGGGAAAAAAAACAGAAGACAGAAGAAATAAAGAGAGAAAAACAGAGGAATTAAAGCCAGTGAGAGGATAGATATGTGGCAAAGATAGTGTCAAATGTGCTCATCAGCTCAAGGAAAACAAAGCTCAACATGATTTTACTTGATGCAGGGAAAAGAAACATCCCATTACTGAAATCTGTGACAGGCTACAGCATTATTCTACTCTCCTGTGTCAGGAAAGAGCTAGTATTGTTTAACCAGCCAGGGCAGACATCAGACTGTGAGGGACAGTGAGAAAGAGAAATGCCAGCTTGGCTGCTGTTTTGCAGGGTGGTAAAACTCTTACTTTTCACTAAAGTGGAGAGCTGAGATAAACAAGGTCTTACCATGGTTCCTGGCAAAAAGCCATCCGTATTGCTTTGCTTGACCTCTTGTAGCTTTAATCTTGCCCTAACTTACTTAAATGTGTGTTGTGAAAAAAATGCTCTCTGCATGCTCTGCAGAACTGGGGCAGGTGAAAAGTTCACTGTTCCCTGAGCCCAAAGGGAGAGACAAGTTTTGTGGGTCGCAGTCTCCCATATCTAGGATTTGGCAGAATTTTCCTATCACTTTGTAGATATCCGTCTATCTCATTTGGAAAAATAACAGGACCTACACTGAAACTGAAAGGCGAGGAGGGAAGCAGAGTCCCAATGTGCTGTGTCTGCCACAGACAGGCACCGTGGCAAGCAAGCTGTGGGTGTCTGCTTTGCATGGCTGCTGAATATCTTCTGATATACTGAAATACTGATACATACACGGAAAATTATGTTGGAGCCATTAAGTAGTTACTTTCAGCACTTGGAGAGTCAATGCACTGTATGGTAAGTACAGAAATCCAGTGCTTTCCAGCAAATTTTCAGAATAACATGAATGATCATTGTACAGCTGCACTCTTAAGTGCCAAAGTTTCTGTTTGTTTGATAACCTCAGTTGTGAATGTATTAGTAAAGATACATTTTTATTTGCATTGTGATAGACGTGGCAAATGGAGAGTATTCTTTCCGTCAGGGTACTTTATCCACAGATAAAGCTCTTTGAAAAGAAGATATCCAAGTCCAGTTAAATATAACAACTTCTTATAGGAAAAACACTGACATATCAACGATGTAAAAACAGGCACTGTGACATTTTTAAAAGTCTGATCTCCTTTTCAACACTGAGGTCTGTGTTTTTATGTTGAACCAGGCTTCCAGGTAGCGCTCCATTTCACTCAGTAAAATGCCATGGATATGTTCAAAAAGAGCAAAATTTCTCCCTTAGAGAGCAGTAAATTTTCCAAGTGTTTGCAGTTTGTTCTTTGCAGATGGATGAAAAAAAGGAGGGAATCCACCTCAGAAATTATTAGAATACTGTCATAGTATCATTCATCTTGGCAAAAGGTGACTGAGCAGATGATGAAGATCCACTTAACTTGGACTCAATCAAAGGTTTTGCTATTTTCATTTCACAGGCCAGATGTAGCTCATCACCAGTTGGAGCTGATTTCAGAAGAGGTGTTAGAGTTTGCTAGTCCAAGAGACGATCTGATCCAGGCATCAAAGGGAGCCACGAGAGAAGTGTGTACTCTCCCCCCTGCTTGCAATTGTCTGCGGCACCGCCTGCTCACTTCTGACAGCCCCATGCCACCCTCCCAGAGCAAGGGCTCCCACGTTCCCTTCTTCAGCCCTTCCCTCCCCAGCCCAATCTACCATGCTGCTGGCAGCCAGCTAAAGAGTGCAGACTTGGTGCCTGCACAAAAGTGAGGAGGAATTACTAATAAACACAAGCCTGTGCACTGGGAAAATTAAGAGCCAGCTTCGTGCTGTGTGTTCACTTGACTCATCCACACCTATGCACTGAGCAAGGAGGTAGCTATCTCCTCGCACTTCTCCTTTGTGGCTTTTAAACTTTTTCACTCTTTTGTGGGGAACACATTCTAAATTATGTGTGCAGCATCTGTTGCCTGGTTTTTCTGACCCGTGCCAGAAGCTTTTCTAGTCTAAAACGACTGAAATGGTTTATTGGTGAGGCCCACAGTATTCAAGATACAAAAGGTTGATCAATACCCCAGCAGGATGCAAAAAGAGTGTGAAAATTTTTCTTACCCCTTCTTACGTCCTTAAAAAAAATGTATGCCTGAAATATTTACACCGATCCTCCCCAATTTCTGTCACTGGTTCTAATCAGAGTTCAGTATATCTCTTGGAAAAAAAAACCCTTGCAAGCAGTGATAAATAGATAATGTCAATTACCGTGGTATTCATGCAGTAGAGCTTTGTTTTGTTAGACTGTGATTCAGCCTCATACAAAGGGTCCACCTGACACATCGTGAACTTCAGAACCTAACTGGAATTTCTCTGGGGTTTACATTTTTCTTGATGCTACACAGGGTGACTTTTCTCTCTCTTACAGGTTTTCTGGGAGTGGGTCATGGGATTCTCTGACACATTTATAAAACATTTATAAAAAGCATTAGCAACTTAAAGCTTTCTGTCTGCTGGTATTTCTTCTCTTTCCAGTTTCTGGTCAGATGATCTTAAAGACACTCTAACCAGCAGAGCAGGAAAACTTCATTAGGATGTTGCAGTCAAACTAGTAAAATAGTTGTTTGGGCTTACCAGCATATTTCCAGCACAGATCTATGTTGAAGTCAAAAAAGGTAGTCCAGTTACAGACTTTACAAGGTCAAATTTTTTCCTGGTCAGACTTTATGTTGGTTGCTTACAATGTTCTGTTCCAATAAAGACTATTCAAATCCACGGACTCCAAGTGTGTGAATGGATGAACCAATCAAAAATTCCCGTTGTAACAATGCATTATAGGATATTAGAATAGCAAATATATATATCAGTGTTAGAAAAGATCAGCTGTCAGTTTTGTTCTTCTCCTTTCACATTTCTTCATTTTCTTCCTTATCATCATGCCAACGACAGCAGCTAACAAAACATTTAAAAAATGGAAAAAAACCCCCACCATTGCCCCAGCAATCACCATTTGGAACATTTTCATAAATGTTCTTTTCAAGACATGCCCTACTCAATGAAATAGATGCCTGAAATCATGCATACTTCAACGTATTTCCTTTTCACAATCCTTCTGGACGTGTATTTATATGCCAACTCGTCTTCATAAATTTCATACTGGCCTTATAATAGCACAAATTAATGATGCCACTAGAAAAGAACTCAGCTGCTTTCAAAGGAGCAATAATCATGTCAGAGGTGCAGTTGGCATGAAGATGATTGAGTTGCACCTCTTCTCTGAGATATTTTCAGGGATGAATCATCCCTTACATAACATATAGCAACGGACAAATTTTCCATGTTATTCTGATACCTCATGCCATCACATTTAATTGTGTAACAGTCAGTCACTATCGCATAAATTTGCTTCCTCAATGATTTGTTGTAAGACCGTGGTAGATGTGTTTTCGGTAAGCTGATTTGAGATTTCAGGAGACACGTGTCTGACACTGCACTGATTGCAGGAACTGCAGGATAGTGATACACCTTTCTGAAGACAAACTCTCTTTCTGACTTTTGATGTGAGCTAATTGAAACTCCTCTCTTCAACATTAACTCCTTCATTGTGAACAATTAAATGGGAAAATTATAGACAATAAAAAATCGCTTTATTGTAAATAAAAGGTCTTTATTACACACTTTGCCTTTTTCATATGCTCATAGATCAAAAATTTGCTTTACTGCTTGTGACATTTTCCAGGCTATGCCTTGCATCTCTTTTTAAGGGAAGTTTAGAACAATTATTCATCTAATATTGTAAGCTAAGTACGCTCACCAAAAGCCACATGCTCTTCCTGTACCACAGGACAGCTACAGCGTTGCTGATGTGACACAGGCTCTTATCAGACTTTCAAGTTGGTCTTCTAGAGTATTCTTTAGCTTACTGAATATTTTAATAAGCCAGAGTTCATTTTTGCACAATGAATACTTTTACTGAAATTTTTCTTTGTGGACGCTGGTGAAGAATGAAAGTACACAGTAGAAATTTAAAACCAATAGTTTAATACCTGGCAAGGTCAGGAATATTGGCCTTCCTCAGAGAAATGTTTTTAGTAGAAAACTGTAGATCTGGCACAGTGCATCAGGCTGCTGTTTCACACAGTGCTTCACTGAGTATGGAATATCCATAAACCACCCTCTCTTCAGGGCTGATAATGTCTCACATCAGCTTAGTGTGTGACACCCCAGTATGCCAGCGAGTGGTGAAGTGGGTTTATATCTGCATTGACTTTAACCTTACCGAGGGTGATTCATCCTGTTTAACTTTAGTACTGTAACCGAAGTGACTAAGTTAGCAATCTATGTGCCCTACAACTTAGGTTGATTGGGTTTTGTACTGGTGCATTAAAATTCACAGCCTTGAACTACATCTCTCTTTCCTTCTACTGAGCCTAGCTTACCTCAGTGAGGTGCCAAATATTACATGGGATAAATTATATTAAAATCTAATGATACTCTGAAAGAAAGTTAAGGCCTGTAACTATTAGAGGAGAATGTCTGTTAACAATAGAAATACCTGATCCTGGTTCCTCTGCTGAGGACAGTTGATTAGAATTTTACTAACACTGATATTTCAAAATCTTCAACAGATACTGAGTTCTTTTTACAAGAGGTGTGGGGGATGCACACATGCATTATCTCACATATTCCACCCTATGGACACCTCCATGAAAGATCACAGGTGTCATCTAGTGCTAGTAGACGTTTATTCTGGGTGAGTGATTTTAACATAAGTCTTTACTGAATGAGTTCTGCACAAAGTTCAAGAGAGGGCTTATCTAAGCCACGGCAATGCTGAAGAAGGGAAAATCTACAAAAAATATTTACACAAGATCTCAGCAAAACTAAGTTGTTCAATGTACATGGCACCATATGTCAAATCTTTTATATATCTCTCTGGATAAGCAGAGAGAATCAAAGGTGAAAGCTGGTTACAAAAGAAATCTGACAGCAACTCATGTTCTGGGAAGTTACATAAATAAACCAAAAAGCAAGCCAGTAAACAGCTTCTTCACTTTTGTTTCCAGAGTTATAGACAATTGCCTTGGCTGGTCATATTTCTTTGGTGGTTTGCCCATAAAAACAATCCAAGAACAATTACTGTAAGTTGTTGGACAATGTCTTTCTAAAAACTATTACTTGAGCGAACAATCACACTTCTACAAATGAGCAAAATTATTTTATGTTCTCTGTTTAAATAATCTGGCATTCATTTCCCTGCTTTTCCTTCTTTCTGAGTGTCCTTCTATGGCAATCTGCTCCCATCTGATGGAAAGCTCATGTATTTCTGTAGCTCTGTGAATAAAACTAAACTTTTTTTTTTTTTTTAACAGTAAATTAGAACAAGGTTCTGTATTTTCACTGTAATGCTTTTGGCTCTGTAGTGAGGTAGTGAGACTCAATAACTTTCTCTGTAAAGAGGTGCCATTTCTTTCTAAAAAGAAAACTGGATGAAAGATGGTCAAGAAATGCACTAAAAGCCAGGAAATCCATAACATTTTGAAGTTAGGAAGTTTTCTGCATGCAGTAACATCCACTAAGGTGGCATTCCAACCTCTTCACATGGCCTGCAACACATCAAGTATTCCTATCCCCAGTTTGTGGAAATCTGCACAAACTGGTAAGTTGGCACACAGATCTGATACAAGGGTCCCAGTGTTTATAATAGTTTTGAACATTCCAAACTGAGTTTAGGACCTTAAACCAAAATGGAATCCTTTGGCAATACACAGCTACACTTAGGCAAAAGTGTATAAAAAATTGTTATTCAAGAATTTGAAAGAATTGCATCTTTTTCTCTTTCCAAAGGAAATTTGCATTGAATCTATAATATGAACCTAAATCAAATGAACTGGTTTTATTCCCATGGAGAAATAAAAGTTTCTATGAAGATTTGTCACATAGTAGATATTTTTCCCACTGTGCTGGCTTGACCTTGGCTGGACGTCAGGTGCCCACCAAGCTGCTCTATCATTCTGCTGCTCAGCTGGATGGAGGAGGGGAGAAAATAAGATGGAAGGCTTGTGGGTCAAGATAAGGACAAGGAGATCACTGAGTAATTACCATCCTGGGCAAAACAGACTTGACTTGGAGAAAATTAATTTAATTTATTGCCATTCAAATCAGTGTAGGGTAATGAGAAATAAAAACTAAATCTTCAAACACCTTCTCCCCACCCCTCCCTTTTTCCCAGACTTAACTTCACTCCTGATTTCTCTACCTCCTCCCCCTCAGCGGCACAGGGGCACTGGGAATGGGGCTATGGTCAGTTCATCACATGTTGTCTCTGCTGCTCCCTCCTCCTCACTCCCTGCTCCTTCTCCAGTGTGGCATTGCTCCTATGGGAGACAATTGTCCCCAACCTTCTCCAACGTGAGTCCTTCCCACAGATTCTTCACAGACTGCTTCAGTGTGGGCTCATCTCTCCATGGGTCCACAGGTCCTGCCAGGAGTCTGCTCCAGCATGGGCTGCCCACAGGGTCACAGCCTCCTTCTGGCACATCCACTTGGTCCATCATGGGGTCCTCCATGGGCTGCAAGGGGACAGCCTGCCTCACCATGGTCTTCCTCACAGGCTGCAGTGGAATCTCAGCTCCAGCATCTAGAGCACCTCCTCCCTCTCCTTCTTCACAGACCTGGGGGTCTGCAGAGTTGTTTCTTTCACATATTCTCACTCCTCTCTCCAGCTGCTCCAACCCCTGGTTTTCTCTTTCCCCTTCTTAAACACATTATCCCAGAGGCATTACCACCGTTGCTGATTGGCTCGGCCTGGGCCAGCAGCAGGC